TTCATCAACCGCAGGAGCGGCTGGGGCGTCCCCAGCAGCCCGCTGCGCCTGGGTGCCACATGGGGCTGTGTCAGGAGTGTGAAGGTCCTCTTGCCCCATGGGGCAGAGGTAGACAACCTAGATGTGAAGGCTCAAACCCCACTCTTCATGGTGGTCAGCAACGGCCACCGAGAACACGCAAAAGTCCTCCTGGATGCAGGGGCCAGTCCTGCTGACAGCATCTACAGCAACTGCTCTCTGCTGCTCATCACTGCGAGGGATGGGGACATGGGCATCCTGCACGTCACAGAAACTAACATTCAGGTGAAGCTGTCTGAGCAAGCTGCCAAGTTGGTGGCTTGTTCTGGTCCCCTCTGCCTCACCACCATGTGCAGGCACCTGGAAGACTTCAAGACGCTGTTGCTTTATGGTGCTGATCCTGACTATAAATTGCACTGAGGAGAGGGTGATTGCCCAGGTCAAGGAACCCAAGCCTCTGCTGGAAACCTGCCTGAGACACGGCTGCAGGAGCGAGTTCATTGAGCTGCTTATTGACTTTGGAGCCAGCGTGTACTTGTCCAACATCACGGCAGATGAGATGGCACACCGCAGCAAGGGCCTGGAGCTGCTGCTGCAGGTGAGAGGCAATGTGCATGTGTGGCCCCAGGGCTGAGAACAAGCTCGTTTGAGTGCAAGTTGCTTCAGCTTCCCCTTCCCTTTGCCTCTGCTTCCCAACAGCCTTACCCAGGCTTTCCTACAAGCTTTGTCCCCTTGCAGCATCATTTGAGTGCATGGCTCTCTCTGGTCTTAAACTCTTGAGTGTTATCCCTGATTTACTCTCAACTCTTATTCCTCCCTCTCCCGCAATGATTGCCCAGTTCAGGCAAAAAAACGCCCAAGTCTCCAATACTGAACACACTAGCTACTGTGAAGAAAGTTAACTCTGCCTCAGCTGAAACCAGGAAACTCCTCCATTTGGCAGCCTGGCGAGAGCAGAGGGAGGCTGGACCTGGCCGTTGGTGCCCAGCCCATTGCCACTGCAGCTCCTGACCCCAGGACATGTCTGTGCAAAGCCCAGACAGACCATCGTTTTCAATATTCCATCAGAACACTGAACATTCCTCTTCGTATTTTATGGGAGGAATAGATTTATTTCTTATGCAGTTGGTGCTTGCTTCAGAACTTTAAATTAGACAAAAAATTAGGGCTAGTCTGTACTAAAGAGAGCATGAACCGAATGTTCAAATGCATGTTTTCCATCTTTCGGGTCTTATCGGAAGTATGGAACAGGTTCTATGGGTGATGCAGTGTACAGGCATGTGGAACCTGCTCTTCTTTTGGTATTTAACGAAGCCAAGTTGTCTCAGAATGGTATTGTGAGGTTTAACAATACATGTTTGTGGAGTGGTTTTGTAAATGTCCAATAGAGGCATTAGAGCTATGTCAAACACTGCGATATCACAGTTCAGGGTTCTTTTACCCATGCACAGGATATTCTGTGTAGGGCAAGTCCAAGGAGCTCCATGGGGTGGAAATACTGGACACGTATCGTACAGGGCTGAGCTATCCAGAACGTCTCTGCACAGCCACACCTAACTGACAACTGGGCCTTTGTGCCCAGGAGAAATTCACAACCACTTATTCAGACTGCCTTGAGTCCACCTTTTATTCTCTGAACCTGCACTGATCTATTACAGTTTCCAATATTTTGAAAGCTCCCCAAAAACGAACCAAACCCCAACCAACCAGATACAGACAAAAACCCTGCAGCACTGCTTCGGTGCCTTGCGGCGGGGCCGGTGACATTCAGTCCCGGGCCCCGCAGCTGACAGGGGGAATCCCGCCGGAAGGTGGAGGGGAGCCAGAGGCGGTGGGGGAGGCAGAAGACAGGTTCCCGCCGCCGGGCCGCCAGCCCTGAGGCGCCTGACAGAACCCCCTGCGCGCGACCTGCTCGGGCGAGAGGCGCGAAGCGCGGGAAGGGGCGGGGACAGGCCACAACGCCGGGAAGCACCGACAGGAACGCCCCGTCG